TGGAGTCTCACTTTGTCCCCCAGGCTGGAGTGCAGTGGCATGATCTCGGCTCACTGCAGCCTCTGCCTCCTGGATTCAAATGATTCTCCTGCTTTGACCTCCTGAGTAGCTGGGACTACAGGCGTGCACCACGATGACTGGCTAATTTTTGTATTTTCAGTAGAGACCGAGTTTTGCCATGTTGGCCAGACTGGTCTCAAATTCCTGACCTCAGGTGATCCGCCTGCCTCAGCCTCCCAAAATGCTAGAATTGCAAGCGTGAGACACTGCGGCCAGCCATGACATTTACATTCTTGATAATGCCAAGTAATATGCTTTTTAAAAAGCAAATCAAGTTCTTTTTAATTGTTACAAATTTGCCATTATTATTACAAACTTCATTCAGGGCCATAGATGATTAGTAATAACTCTCAATTTATTGTAGCCCTGATAGCTATCTCCTATTACTAGTTCCATTTTCTGTCTTCTCTTTCTATTTCTGCTACCACTTTCTTTTCAAGGATTGAGATATTCACAAAAGATAAAAAATGTAAAGGTATTACCAGAGCTTTAAAATTTATATAGAGTATTAATTGGAGATAAGTCTTTTACTTTTTTTATTTTTTATTTTTTTTTAGAGATGGGGTTTCACTGTGTTGGCCAGGCTGGTCTTGAACTCCTGACCTCATGATCCACCCACCACAGCCTCCCAAAGTGCTGGGATTATAAGCGTAAACCACTGCGCTCAGCCAGGAGATAAGTCTTAAGCACATATATGCTAAGCTTCAAAAATAACATCAACGGCAAAAAAGATATGCACATCAATGCTCACTGAAAATGCTTGTTACATATATCCATTTAATTAAATATAATGCACCAACAAAAATCATATTCATGAAAATTTTAAGATGTAGGAAATGCTCATAATTCTGAAAGAGAAAAGAAAAACTACAGACTATATATAATGTAATCTCAATTTTGTAGAAGAAAATCTATGTATAAGCTTAGAAAAAATACGATAAATAAATACATGAAAATATTAATAATTATTGTTGTTCTACATGATTTATTTTCTTTCTCTAATTCCAAAATATCCTCAAAAAATCAAATATTTCTGGCCAGGCGTGATGGCTCAGGCCTGTAATCCCAGCATGTTGGGAGTCCGAGGTGGGACAATCATTTGAGCCCAGGAATTTGCGACCAGCCTCGGCAACATGGCTAGAACCTATCCTTATTAAAAAGAAAAAAGAAATTCAAGTATTCTTTTTATAACCGGAACATGATATAAAAGAGAAAAAATTCTATCAGAATTACTTGTAGGATTAAAGATTGTGAAAACTTAAAAAGCCAAACAGAAATCATTTAAATAGAAATTGGATGAGAGAAAATTTGCAGATAAATTGGGAAAAGATGCACTAGATTTGGGCCTAGTGTGGCTGTGAAAATTATACAAAAATTATACAAAATCAGATGATCTCTTAGCATGGTATCTAGTGCTCTGACGTATACATAAATCACACTAAATTATAGTTAATTAAACAGCTTGGATGGTAACAAATGGGTGTACATGTACAAATTCTACTACAATCAAGTGGCTATTGTCTTTTAAGACTGATGAGAAGAAAAGAATTGTTTTGTGAGAAGGCTAATTAAGACAACGTGACAGGGCTTCTCGCTTTGGATTCCTCACCTTTTCACCGGCACTGGCTCACTCAACTACTACAGAAATTAACTCCAATATACTGTTACTTTTGGATGAATTCATATATAATATCAGGGGCCTTATCAATTCTTGTACTGGAAAACTTCTCACTGTCTTATCGCTCTTGAGGCAAATTGCAAAAATTCATTAAATGCTTTTATTAACATTTCCAAGCATATGCTAATCATGTTTAAAAGTCCCTAATGAGTACCATAAAGCAATTATACTACTCAACTGAAAGTTGAAAGCACTTAAGAAACAAAAGGAAAATATATTTAGCTGTCACTATACTCCAAGGCTTAGAGATAACTACCGCTGACTCCTAAAAAGTTGAACAATGAGGAAATCACGCAAGGCCACAGTGCTTAAAGGGTTAATATTGAATGAACTCAGCATGAAACAGTCAGGAAGAGAAGATGTCCAGTTGTGAATTTTCCCACTGCTACGGTGCTGGTAAGTATAAAGAAAAATAGAACTTGGGAAAATTATCAGAATTGCCATTAGAGGGGGGATTTGAGGGAAAGGGATGGAATTTCATTGGGCTCTGCAGTGCTATGATCTTCTCCCAAACAGTGTAAGTCCGACATAAATATAAGAGTACCATTTGCTGTTAGATACTGCAACTTTATATTTTATACTGCCAAATTGTTTGTTTAAAAAAATATTTTTTTTTCAGCCTGGGCAACAGAGTGAGACCCTGTCTCTACAAAAAATTAGCTAAGTATAGTGATGCACACGTGTAGTCCTAGCTACTCGGGAGGCTGAGTCAGGAAGATCACTTGAGCCCAGGAGTTTGAGGTTACAGTGAGCTGAGATCATGGCACTGCATTCCAGCCTGGATGACAGAGTGAGACCCTGTCTTGAAATATATACATAGATATATATGTATATATTTCATCATTAAAAATGTAATATGTAGTTATCATATAAAATGTGGAAAATACATAAAGTATAAAGAAAAAAACTTCAAAATCCAACTGTTTTACTATTATCCAGAGACAAACACTGTTAATATTTTGATATATTTGTATTTTGAGTTTTCCTAACATACTGAGAATTATGTTAATAAAAAAATGTAAGATACCTATGGCATCCCATTAAAATATAATAAAAGTATGCCACTGAAGCATTGGAGGCACACCAAATGTCCAATAAGAATCAGAAGGTACTTTCAACATTTATCAAGGTGGCAATGAAGACCTACACAACAGCCAAGTATGCAAAGTTTATTGCCCCCAAAACATTTAAAGAATGAATAATTTTTTTAAAAAAGTGGAAAATAAAGTAATGCTTGCAAGTGGCTTGTTTTTGCTTAAACCCATACAATGTCCTTTTCCAATCTAAAAAAGCTAAAAACCCTAGGACCTGCAAGTCACAGAGTATCTTGGCGACACTACAGCTCACTTTGTCTTGTAAACTGGCTTAGGAACCCATCATGATCCAGGTTCCCAAGCCAAATTCAGCTTAGCAGAGAGGTCATTGGCCCCTCCCTGTGCACTTGCTTTCTCTAGGGTTCAAATGTTTGGGCTTCTCCTAGACTTAACAAGAATATGGTTACATTTACATTTCAAAGCCTTAATTCCTCTGAAATGGATTTCTCCTCCCAAAGGAGACAGCTCTCAGAATGAATGTACCCTTTAGGATAATCAGTATGTGGACCACAGGTACACTACTACTGCAAATGTTAACCAAATGCTGCTAATGGCAAACAAAGCATTGTATTTTTAGTAGAGATGGGGTTTTGCCTTGTTGGCCAGGCTAGTCTTGAACTCCTGACCTCAAATGATCCTCCTGCCTAGGCTTCCCAAAGTGCTGGGATTACAGAGGTGAGGCACCAGGCCTGGCCCATAATTTTATTTTATTTTTGGAGACAGGGTCTCTCTCTGTCACCCAGGTTGGGTGCAGTGGCATGATCCTGGTTCACTATAGCCTCAATCTCTCTGTCACCCAGGTTGGGTGCAGTGGCGTGATCCTGGTTCACTACAGCCTCAATCTCCCTGGGCTCAAGTGATTCTCCTCCCTCAGCTTCCCAAGTAGCTGGGACTACAGGCGCACACCACCACACTGGGTACTTTTAGTAGAGATGGGTTTTTGTCATGTTGCCCAGGATGGTCTTGAACTCCTGGGCTCAAGCAGTCTGCCTGCCTTGGCCTCCCAACATGCTAGGATTACTGGCATGAGCCACTGTGCCTGGCCAGCGTCATAATTTTAATGCAGTCTCATCCAACAGGCTGAGAAACAACAGACATTAACATGTAGTTCGTCTAAGAAAAATACCAATCTCACCATAAACTTACAGCTAACTAATGAGGAAAACAAACTAAATTTAGATTAACAGTAATAATAAATCCATAAGTAGAGTATAGCGCTGAACTTTGAGCATGTGAAATGTGATTGCAGAATAAATGGGACTCATCAGTAATTTACTACTCAGACCAAAAAAAAAGATGCTAACAAGGACTCAATTGGTAATTTTTTAAAAATCACGTGGTCTACTCTGCACTATTTTAGTATGCTCTTAATAATAAGGTTGCATGTTATTGTTTTTTGCTTTATTTAAATCATGCAAAATGCCATTAATTTAGCGAAGTAACTTGTACAGGAGATAAAAGTTCACTTTCCTGTCAGTATAGTAGTTTGCTACTGACATAGACCAGATATGTTGAAACTAATTATCCAAGTATTTAATCTCTGCATTATTCCTTAAAAAGCAAAAGAGCGTCCTTCATGATCAGCAATCCTTGAATAGAAGTCCAGAGAGACGGAAGTTATACATTACCATGAAGCCAAAGTCCCCAAGAATGCCTTAGGCTCTTCTCATCCTCAACTCCGAAACACAAAACCCAACCAGACCAAAAAAGAAAAGGGTAGGCCTTGGGAAACATGTCCAATCTAGGGTATTTTGGGTGGTCTGGTTTGGTGACAAATTGAGTTGGGCACATCCCAAACTCCTTCCGCTCAAGAATCACTCTTTCTTATGCCTGTTAGGAGGGCAGCAGAGATACCTTTGGGCTTTGGAACACAGGCGTCATCCTTTGCTTTTCACTGGCCCACTGCATCATTCTGATTACTGTAGCATTGTGTGCAGGCCATTTAACTTTCTTGTTAACTGTGCTTTTGGTTTCCCCTCATTAAAACAAAGGAGTCGTCTGGCCTGGTTTACTCACCTTATAATGATGATGCTGTCATGGTTTTAAAACTTTGAAAAAGGAAATCTGTAAATGTATTCTCTGCTACTAGCAAATTCACCAAATATTCTTTTTTTTCTTTTCTTTTTTTTTATATAGAGTCTCACTCCGTCACTCAGGCTGGAGCACATTGGTGAGGTCACTGCTCACTGTAGCCTTGACCTTCCGGGCTCAAGAGAACTTCCCACCTCAGCCTCCTGAGTAGCTGGAACTTCAGGCATGTGCCACTATGCCCAGCTAGTTTTTGTATTTTTCATAGAGTAAGGGTTTCACCATGTTGCCCAAGCTGGTCTTGAACTCCTGGGCTTAAGCGATCCTCCCACCTCGGCCTCCCAATGTGCTGGGTTATAGGTGTGAGCCACTGTGCCTGGCCCAGATATTCTTAGTAACACTAATAGCCACATAATACTGTGTGATATTGTGAAAAGAGAATTGGGGTCAGGCTAGTGTTTTAATCTAAGTTTTGTAACCTTGGGTAACTTTGCATAGTTACTCAAATTCTCTGAACCTGAATCTCTTCACCTGCAAAAATGAATCAAATTAGTTTATTATTATGGGGTTTCCAATGGGGATTAATTCACATACGTGAAAGAACCTGGCACAGAATCAGTATTCATAAATGTTAGTTTGTTTCATTTCATTCATTTGAAGTCAGAGGACTTAAGTTTGTCACTTTACTGCTTACTAGCTATGTAAACTCAGGGAAGTCACTTAACTTTGCTGAGCTTTATTTTTTCATCAGTAAGATAAAGTTGCTGTGAGGATTAAACAGGACTATATGCTAAAATGTACTTCCAGGTAGCCCGCTAAGCATTTCCTGTATACGGCAATGGTATGGTTCATGACTTTCTACGATCCCCACTCTTTCATGTCTCTGTGGGAGCACCCAATCAAGCAATGATGGACTCGGTAGGTAATAGGCTGCTGATTACTGGGTTTTTTTCAACCAAGGTGGGATGACAATTCATTTGAGAAATAGAAGGAGGGATTCCTACGGCTCTCTGACACAAAATTAAAAAATGATATGAGAGAGTATGGACTAAATTATGAAGGCACTGTAGGTACTATGCTACCACTGCTGCTGTAACAAATTACCACACACTTAGTGACTTAGAATAGCACCGATTTATTGTCTTACAAGTTCAAGAGGTCAGAAATCTAAAATCAAGGTGTTAGCAAAGCTGTGTTCTTTCTGCAAGCTTAAGGAGAGAATCTGTTTCCTTCCCCTTTTCAGCTTTCTAGAGGCCACCCATCCTCTTTTTTGTTGTTTGTTTCTGAAACAGTCCAATGGGTCAGAAAGGCCACCCACATTCTTTGGTTCATAGTCCCTTTCTTATGTCACTCCAGTTTCTTATTTCTGCCATTGCATCTTCTACCTGTTCTGATCTTGCTGCCTCCCTCTAATAAAGACTCTTGAGATTACATTAGGCCCACATTGATAAACCAGGGTAATCTCTCCCATCTCAAGAACCTTAATAACATCTGCAAAGTCCCTTTTACTATATGAGATAATGTGTTCAGGGATTCCAGGGATTAAAATGTGGGCATCTCCAGGGGGCTATCATTCAGCCTACCACAGATATTGTAGGTCAGAGATCATCATTGGAATCAGAAAAATTAAGAGTGTCTTTATGGAGGTGGTGCATTTTGAAGGCTATGAAGATAAAAAGGAGACCACTTCTATATTGGGAAATTACATGAACACAGGTAGTGGGAATAGAAATCAGCATAATTTACATAAAGACCATTAAAGAGATAAATGTAAATGCAGTAAGCGTGAGAGACGCAATTAAATGGGAGGAGGGAAAGGCCAGATCACAAAGAGCCTTAAAGCCAGGGAAAAGGATAAAAATTCAGTATAATAACAGTTGAGAGTTACTGAAAGTTCCTAAGTAAACCCCAAAGTGACTTTATAAAAGCAGCATTTTCTGGATGATTAGTTTAGAGGTGGGATAGCAGACCCCAAAAGGAACAAAGCTGAATGGCTACGTCTCCTCTGAAGCATCATCACTGTTGTCGAACCTGCCTTCCTAACACCTGAACGCACATTGGCAGCAACTTCAGTGGAGATAGAAAAGGCAAGGGCAGGATCATTTTAGTTTCTGGTCACCTTCAGAAACACAAGCCACAGTCACTAACCCTGTACCTCTTGTAATGATTCGCAAAGGAAGAAAATTTTTATGAGCTCAGGCAGTTTTTTAAAAAGAGAAAAAACATACCAGGCTTACCTCATTGCCACATTACTTCCATCAATGACAACTGGCCTCAAATTGTCACTGTTGTCTATTTCATCTTCAAGAGACAATTCAGGACTTGCAATCTCTCTAGAGCTGGGCCCACGAGGCACTAACAGACTCAAGTTGATCTGCCCTTCTGAATCACCTTTGTTCCCAAGTCTGACAAGCTCTGCCAATACATCATTAATAAGTGATTCTGGTCCCAGCTTGTTTAGCACTGATTGAATCTGTTCCTCTGCATAGCCTAGCTTTAGAGCAAACTCCATCTTAGCTTGGTATTCCTTCTCCAAGTCAAGTTTACCATCCTGTAAAATGCTGCTCTGGGAGAAGCTTGGACGATCTAGGCAGGGTGATCGACAGAGCTGGCGGTGTGGCTTGGAGGACATCTCCTTTTTCTTCAACTGACCATCCCTAGGGTGGCAGCTCTTGCTGTTGTCACTACTCTTAAGGCTTATCTGTTCAGGGTCACTCTCAGAGCTCATCCACTCTTCAGAATCAGCATTGCCCTGCTCTGTGCTGTCCTGCTTAGGCTGCTGCTTCTCTTCCTTGGAGGCACTCTTCTCCATTTTTGGTGTCTCTACCTCAGCTGTGGCCGTCATCCCGTTCAGTGGGTCTTCTGAGGTCTAATCAGTTCTTTTTCTTTTTAGCCTGCTTGGAATCCACATGCAGTGGCATGCTTTTGTGGTAAAATGTCGTGGTAGCGATGGTGGAAGAGTTTGCCTGTTTCATTTGGTATGTTCAGATGTTACCAGTCCCTACAAATAAACACATATACCACATCATGTTTAGTAAACTTTAGGAAAAGAATTTTAGAATACAGAGGTTTCTTCTTAAGAAACTACAAGTTTTTGGCGTTTGATTTTTCTGCTTATAATGATTGGACTCGACTTACATGAAAGATAAAGAGTCCCTAATTCTATAATAATTCTAGACATAAAAATTTCAGTGGTGGCAATAATGCTGTTATTCACTCCCAATATACACACAAAATAACAGCTAAAGTTATCTGCTTATCACAACAATTTTGAGAAACAGAAACATCACATTTCAACAAGATGCAATTATATATATATATAATATATATGTTTCCTTGGAAAGAATCTCTCTCTCTCTCTATATATATATATTATATATATATATTTATATATATAATATATATTACATATAATTATACATATATAATTATATATTAATTATATATAATATAATATAATTAATATATTATATATTATATATTAATATAATTAATATATAATATATATATTTATATATTTTATATATTATATATAATATATATATATTTTCATGGAAAGACTCTCTTTCTTACTTTCTGCCAGGAAGCGTTTCCAGATCCCATACCATATCCTTCTTGCTAAGGCTAAAATCCACTCCTGAAGAGCACGTGCTCTCCAGCGTTACTCTTTGCAAAATATCAGGAACTCATTTACTAAGGAGATTAGAAAAACATTAAAATTGCTCAGACAACTAAAGCAGGCTGTAAGGGTAACAAACAGAGAGGTATGTTTCAGATAAGAAAGGGTGTGTATGTGCACTTTGCTGAATGTGTCTGAAGTCCCTTTTTTAATTGTAATTGATAAACAAAAGGAGAAAAAGCAACTCAACGTGCAAGAGAAACTAGAACACAATAAGAAGAATATTAATTACAGGAGAGAATTAGGGACAATTGTATTTCTAAACTCCTTCTCTAACCTACCTCATCTGTCCCAGCAGATTTCAGTTCTAACCTGGCCTAAGTGTGTTCTTTTCTTTGAGCCTCAATTTCCTCATATGTAAAATGAGGATATTGATAGCTACCTTATAGGGTAATTGTAACGATTACATAATATATATTAGGAAAGTGCTTAGAAAAGTGAAGATAACACAGTAAGTTCTCAATATACATAAAGGGGGTAATGATACCACTACAGATTTGGTTTTTTTTTTAAAAGAAAACTGACAGTGAGGTAAGGCTGTGGACCTGTGAGCACTGATGAGCTCTTCAGGCAGAAGCTGTGCTGACTCATCTAAAAATAGGCTACTGACGGCACCATGGCTCATGCCTGTAATGCCGGCACTTTGGGAGGCTGAGGTGGGTGGATCACTTGAGGTCAGGAGTTCAAGACCAGCCTGGCCAACAAGGCGAAACCCTGTCTCTACTAAAAATACAAAAATAAGCTGGGTGTGGTGGCGGGTGCCTGTAATCTCAGCCACTCAGGAGGCTGAGGCAGGAAAATCGCTTGAAACTGGGAGGTGGAGGTTGCAGTGACGTGAGATCACAGCACTGCACTCCAGTATGGATGACAGAGTGAGACTCTGTCTCAAAATAAATAAATAAATAAATAAATAAATAACAGGCTACTTATGTGACCAGTGTGCCAGATATTTCTAGTTACATCTCAGTTGTGTGTGTGTGTGTGTGTGTGTGTGTGTGTGTGTGTGTGACACAGTTTCCCTTTTGTTGCCCAGGCTGGAGTACAGTGGCGTGATCTCGGCTCACTGCAACCTCCACCTCCCAAGTTCAAGCAATTCTCCTGCCTCAGCCTCTCAAGTAGCTGGGACTACAGGCATGCACCACCATGCCCGTCTAATTTTGTATTTTTAGTGGAGACGAGGTTTCACCATGTTGGCCAGACCGGTCTCGGACTCTTGACCTCAGGTGATCCACCCGCCTCAGCCTCCCAAAGTGCTGGGATTACAGGCATGAGCCACCACACCCTGCCTCAATTCTGTTTCTACAAACAAGGAAAACCTCTAATAGTTTGAAGAATGCTATGAATAACTGCATGCTTACTTTAGGAGTCACATTTGGAAACAGAGCCAAACATAATCAACATCTCAGAAACGACATTCAGGCAGCATATAAAGACTCCTGGAATGATTAAATTACCACTTACGACGTTAAAAATTTCCTTTAGTGAATTAGTCAACATAAAGACACCCATTTTCTTATAAGTTCCACATTTACTATCTGACTTACAGTTTATTTTCTTCTAAATAATTCCTAGTGTATACAGGACATTGAAATATTTCCCCTAGATTTATTCAAAGCTTCCAAGTCACTTAAAACCCACTGTTTATGGCCAGGTGCGGTGGTTCATGCCTGTAATCCCAGAACTTTGGGGGACAAAGGCGCGTAGATCATGAGGTCAGGAGTTCAAGACCAGCTGGACCAACATGGTGAAACCCCGTCTCTACTAAAAATACAAAAATTAGCCATGCACAGTGGCACACACCTGTAATCTCAGCTACTCAGGAGGCTGAGGAGAGGAGAATCACTTGAGCCCAGGAGGTGGAGGTTGCAGTAAGCCGAGATCGTGCCATTGCACTCTAGCCTAGAAGACAGGGTGAGACTCTGTTTCAAAACAAGAACAAAAACAAAAACAAACAAACAAACAAAAAACAGGCTGGGTGTGGCGGCTCATGCCTGTAATCCCCGCATTTTTGGAAGGCCGAGGTGGGTGGATCACGAGGTAAAGAGTTTGAGAACAGCTTGGCCAGCATGGTGAAACCCCGTCGCTACTAAAAATACAAAAAATTAGCCAGGTGTGGTGGCGCGTGCCTGTAGTCCTAGCTACTTGGGAGGCTGAGGCAGGAGAATTGCTTGAACTCAAGAGGAGGAGGTTGCAGTGTGCCGAGATCCAGCCACTGTACTCCAGCCTGGGCGACAGAGCAAGATTCTGTCTCCAAAACAAAACAAAACAAAACAAAAAACAAAACCCCCAGCTGTTTAATGTATATTTTCTTGGCAAATGAGAGGTACCTGTAAAAGATAAGTTTAGCTAGTGGACCATAGAATGTTTATTTCATAATATCAAATACTTAGTTCTGTCCAAATTGTCATTGGTATATATACTTTCACCATGCTTAGGTAGACATATAATAGCAAATTTAAATTCAGGGAACATCTCACAAACATAGGAAACTCTCATTGAAATTACTTGTTATTATTGTGGAAGTTTCCTATTCAATAATCCAAAGTAGAAGGGAAATAGCGTAGCAGAAATAAACTTGGATTTCTCTTTCAAAACCTTAAGCAAGAATATCTTAAGAAAAATGTTGGCAACATTTTCTAAAACCTGTGTAAGTGTGAAGGTGTCATGTGTTTGTCTATGCGCACGTGTCTCTTTTATAATGCAAAAATCCTTGGGTCAAGATAGCAAGAATGTATTTTTATTCAAAAGAACAGTCCCTGAGTGCCAGAGATTGTGCTAAGTCCCAGAGTTAGAAAGAGAAACCAGAACTAAGCCTGTCCTCAAAGAACTCAACCAACTAGTAAAAAGTTGGCTAGAAGTGACACTAGAAAGTGCTCAAATGTACTTCTATAGAGGATGAACATTTCAATTACAGTTAAGAACATTTCAATTCAAGAACATTTCAATTAAGCTGGGATACTTTTGTGAATGAAGGGAGTGTTTACTGATAGTTATGTACGAACAATAGGCATAAATTGGGGATGTCCCAGGTAAACCTGAGTATATGATTGGTCACCCAAGTTACTTGCAAATTTCCATTGACATACAGAAGGGGAAATACTCAGCTCTTGTCAGTAGAGTGGGAGGTAGGTGTGGTGGTTGAAGAGATTAGGAAAGAATTCAAGAAGCATATAATATCTAGCCATCTGCTGACATTACTTTATTAATTAATTCATTCTAAAATACTTATTTAGTGCCAATTATGTACCAGGCAACATGTTAGAGGCTGAGGATATAAAATAAGATGGGGACTCTAATCTCAAGGAGCTTATAATGATGTGTTGAGGAATGGGGAGACAGACAATAATCAAATAATGATATAATTCATAATTATAAACTGGGTAAATGATTAAGCATTAAAAAGTATAGGGAGCTATGAGTTGAGCCTTAAAGGAAAGAGTTAAAATTTGCTGGGCAGAGAAGAATTTTTCAAATTACAAGTATATGAAGATTAATATGATACAGTGCCTTAGTCAACACCTCATGCCTAATATTATTGGCAAGGAGTGATAAATGAAAGCATTGAAGATGGTGAAAGCAAAATAGTCACATTTGCTCAAAAAAAGAAGGTGAGTGGGGAGAAAAGTTTCAAAGATGATGTTTTAGTTTATGACATGTGTTGAAAGGGGTTGTTGGCTGGACATGGTGGTTCATGTCTATGATCCCAGCACTTTGGAAGGCCAAGGCAGGAGGATCGCTTGAGCCCAGGATTTGAGACCAGCCTGGGCAACGTGCTGAAACCTCGTGTCTACAAAAAATACAAAAATTAGTCAGGCATGGTGGCCTAGGCGTGCAGTCCCAGCTACTCTGGAGGCTGAGGTGGGAGAATGGCTTGAGCCCTGGAGGCTGAGGTTACAGTAAGCAAAGAGGGCATCACTGCACTCCAGCCTGGGTGACAGAACCAGACCCTGTCTTAAGAACAACAAAAAAATAGAGTCATTATCTTTTGTTGTTACTGTTTGAAAAAATCCACAAATGAATGCTTTAAAGACTGGCATACTTTGGAAAATCACATTACTCAGATGAAATTATAGAACTGGATGTAATTTGTTTTAAGAAATTAAGAGCTTTGTCACCAGATAGCTTGCCTATAACTTGTTTAAGAATATGATTAAGCAAATGATTGCAAACTTGCATCTGAATCTAAAAAAAGCAGAGAAACATATGCAGCCAAAATCTGCTACAAGTGACCTCAAGGAGGAATTCCCACCAAGAAAAAAAGATCAAAGTCTTCTACTTTCTTCTCTCTCCCACTAATATTTTTTATTATGAAATGCAATTTA